CTCTCAGTCTCCAGTTTTTATCCACGTTTATCTCGTCTCCAATAAGTCCCTCCAGTGGGGTGCAGTTATTACAGGGGGAGTACACTTCACATCTCTTTTCACAAAATACATTTAAAAATCAGGAGATTCTTTTCCACTTTCTTGAGTAAGAAAGGTCTGTTCTCTCAAACAGCGGGCAATTCCATCTCATTTTAAATGTCAGCTCGTCAACTTTGAACATAGTGGTCACATCCAGAGTCCCTCGGTGTTCTCGTTCTGTCTTTCAGTGGGTCCAGTTCCAGTTCAGCCCCCCGCCCCCCACCTTTACAAAAGACCAATTAACACCAAGACTACAACGTCTTCCAAAAATCTAGAAATTCTGCAGTTTCTATTTTGTTTTTCTTCTCACTACAGTTGTTTTGGAGTGTTGTGCCATCACTTTGTGTTGTGGGCAGGTCAGTAGTTGTGTACAGGTCTCTCCTTCTGGTATCTACAGAGGAGAGTGTTGAAGGGTGGGGTGAGGTGCAGGTCTTCAAGCCTCGGAGCTCAGGGAGGTCCGTGTGGGACTGGGAGGGAGGCGAGCTGCTGCACTGTGTTCTGTGCGGAAACTGTAATCATACTGACAGAGGGAGAGTCGCCCATTATTACCTTGTAACATGGACTGACAGAAATCATCCCATTCTACACCGAATCAAACTACGATTAAGTCAAAATGTCTGTGTTTCACAAGAACAATAAAGTAGATGAAACAGTAAGGAACACAATGGCCTCTGGTGGACACAGTGTGTAATTACAGGAACATTTCCATTAGCTGGGACCAGAAAATGACAATGATTACAGACATGTGCATTTCCAACAACAGACGGGAAATCTCAAGTATAAAAGACAATACCTGTTTCCTACCACTTGGTTCTTTATAGTAACACTGTTACAGCAAGTAATGAGGGAATGGAAATCTCCTTAAATACTAGTAGAACTGTAGTAACTCCAACTCGACTACATTCGTTTACCCACCTCTTTCTCAATTTCAGCCAGTGACTTGATTGTGATGCCCATCAGATCCACTTGCTGCAGCTGAAGATGGAGAACAGTGACAGTTTCCCAGTTAGCTGAAGAGATTCACCTTCAGTAGTCTAGTGTTTCCTTTCTACATATTGCTTCTATACTTATGTCCAATCTGCTGCACTTGCAGAATATCTGCCAGGCACACATAACAGATACGGTAATAATAGATTAAGACTGTAGATTGAGCAAAAGTTTCTTATCTTGAGTAGAGGTGTTAGAGCACACAGCTGAACATCTTTGCTATGCTATAAGAAGATAAAATGAGTTACAAAATGTTAAAAAAGTTATCTTACATCAGACGAGGCACAGGCAAACTTCTCAGAGATCATGAATGGCACTCCATCCATTGCTGAAAAATACAAGTCATATAATGGCTACATGAATGTTTCTTTTGCAGCTGGACCAAAGAAATCACAGAAATAACACATTCATTCAAAAGTCAACCATCCATCCATTATCTACACCGCT